TTGTTGTCTGAGAGCAACACTTGAATGTCCAAACAATCAATGAAAATGTCATAAAATACAATTTTCAGAGAAAAAATTGAATTGTTTTCTTTGATTGCAAATTCAATGAAAAGCAAGAGTATTTTATACAGGCAATCAAGTCTGCTACAAGCTGTTAAACTGGTTGTCAGTGTAAAGAAATTGGAACAATTTTACCAGGCTAACATGCAACAACAGTAAAATAATCAGAGTGACATATAGTTTTTTGTATGATTTCACAGTGTGATTGACCAATGAACAAATTGAGTTATTTTCCATTTAATTTACCAAACAGAACAAGCAGAAATCAATATGTGGAGGCCTGATGTTTGTTAGTGATGGCTTTCAAGTTGATGAGGGGGAAAAAGAAGCCTTTTTGGTCACCAAAACAATGATAATAGTTTGTTTTTATATTAAACCTTTTTTTGGAATTGAGTCAGAAATAATTTGGCTGAATATACACCTAATAGGTAACAACAATGGAACAGAATTTGAACGTAACCTTATAGATACTGGTTTTTGTGTCATACATTTAGGAGAAATATGTCTATGAAGTACACTAACTGGCTATAAGATTCAATATGATAATCAATAGCAGATCTTCAGGGAGGAGATGCTACCTCCCTTCCTCATTGCCACAACCAAAATTTTGTAAAAAGAAAAGCTGAAATCTAAAATGGGCTCTAAACAAAATAACTATTATGTTGCATTATCAACTGCTATAACTGGTGGAACCTTGTAAGAATTTTTAGGCTTGCCAACTCTCCTTTCCTCACCATACCCCCTTTTCAGAAAAAAAGAAATGTGACGATAATTATGCTTATATTTGTCAGTTGTGATGAGCATGATCAGTTAAGGTTAGATGACACGTTCCTCAAATATCTGTTTTGTATCTCTTAGTAATAAAAAATTATTAATAATTATTAATAATTATCATCATCTTATGATTTCTAAACTATTTTCAAAATGTCTTAAAAAAGAAATACTGCCATAAAGTATATGATGTTGGCAATTCTCATGATTTCCAGTAGGAAACGATGTCCTCTGGTATCATGCACAAATGTCTGGTACGGTACCTCAATTTTTTGTGAGGAAAGTTGTTAAAGTAGCAATACTTTAAAGATAATTTTCCCCAATGAAAATTATATATTATTGTGGAACGAGTTGTCTGACCCTAAAGGTACTCGTAGAATCTGTGGAGAATCACTGTAAGGTTGGGATGGATTCATTGAAGATTGTAACATTGAAGTTAACTAATCATCATGCATTGAAGTAATTTGGACCTATTTTAAGAACTTCAATCTATTAATGTTGCTTTGGATGCAATATAATCAATCAACTACAGATTTTTTGATTGATGTTGTAGTTTATTATTCTAAAAAGTGGTGCAATAAAAATGTTTACCAGAGGTATACCTTAATTAATGAATTGCTTCCCAAACTGTTCAAAATAGTAAATATGTAATACCCAGTAGTCACTTTAAGGTTGTCCATCCCTATAAGGTTCTTTTTATTAGCCTTACATGAAATAGCATATAATATGGTCTCTCTATTAAAACTCAGCATAAAGTGTTTCAAAGCATTGCTTGTTTTTGTCAATGGCATTATAATTATATAGCCATACAGGAAAAAGAAAAAAAATTCAAAATATTTTCTGTGAAACCTCATTTGAGATCAAGGCTGAGCTAGTTGATTTTTTTTGTTATCTATAAATACAAAATGCAATATATTTTAGTTGCTTGGTAAGAAATTTTCATTTTTGATAGCATATGTTTGTAGCACAAACTATCTTTGTAATATGTCACAATTCATTCATTTACAGTCAGGGATGGGCACGATTACTGAAAAAAGTAATCGATTAATAATCGATTACTTGGAGGAATTTTGTGTAATCGATTATTAATCGATTACACTCATTTTTTTCCTGTAATAGATTGTAATTGATTACTTTGGAAGATGTAATCGATTAATAATCGATTACTTTCAAGTTTTTGTCCCTTCAAATATCAAAGCAATATTTAAATGGTAAATGTTGATGTTATCCACTGAAGTTTGAATGTGTTCCTCCAATTTCAGTGCAGATCCTTTTAAGATTTTATTCTGGCTAACATTCTCACTAAATGCCCAAATGAGGGATTCTCTACCATGGAAAGTGGAGACATGATTCCTACAATAAAATATGCCAAGGAATTAATTATTCCTTTCAACCTTGGATCCGAACCTCCTTATTTATTGACTTGTTGAAAAAATTATTTAATATTTTATTGTGAATTATTCATTAGAAATTTTTGGGCTGCCCGTATGTTGACAGTACATATTAAACATTCCTGTACGTGTCTTTTTTCAAAAAAATAAGTAAATTAGAACGAACTCTTAGTAATGAACATGTAAATTAAATGTGTCTTTAAGTAATTTAACTAATACATGTAGCACAATTTCATTATGTATTGAAATAAGTGTTATGAGAGCTATTAATTTTTTTTAATAATATTGTTTGTCTTCAATGGAATGGGGAAAGTTAAACACTAAGTAGTTCTGATGCACAGTTTACACCTCATTATCTGCTATCATGCAGGGATATGTCTCAGTCAATTAATAAGCCAATTAAGATAAGCAAACACAGTGACACTTACTCCCTCTCTTACAGACACTCATAACCTAGCTCTCACTGATATAAAAGCAACCTTACAATTTTGAATGAAAACATGAGAATGATTTTTCAAATTTTAAAGTTACTAAAACACCAGTTTGAAGTTGTTTAAACATTTTCAGGTATGAGTAATTATATCCATCTTCTTCTTTTTTCGAGTACAATGTAGTTTATTTACCAAATTATTTATATTTTATACAGCACTTAAATCTGTTTTTGCTATTTATAATTTTCTATTACAAGACGAAGTTTTTCAACATCTGAAATATGAAAAAGGACATGCAGCAAGAGGACAGTCGGTCAAATGTAAAATGCACACAAAAAAATCTGTATATTTATTAATAAATGGTTGAAATACACTTCTGAATTATTTAATACTAGACCAGTAGTTCTATAATGCGAATTTTATTGAGAACATTATTAAACTTATGATAAGAAATGTTAGGAAATCCAAACATTACACTAGGTGGTTTATATTTGATATTTATGTGTGACTGACTGGAAATCATTCTCCAAAATAAAATCCATTCATGTATAAAATAATCGGAAGTAATCGAAAAAGTAATTATAATTACATTGAAAATTTTAGCTGTAATCGATTAAATTACGATTACAAGTAATCGAAAATCACTTTGATTACAGATTACTGTCTATTACTTGAAAAACAGTAATCATTACAATCGATTACGATTACTCGATTACGATTACCCCATCCCTGTTTACAGTTTATTTTGGCTGGATTAATATTTTGGTGCCTCTGACACATTAATTAATTGTTTTAAATAATTGCTAAAATATGACTTTCTATAAATAATATGATACATAAAAATACTGATTACTGTGCTAATTCAGAATTTCAATGATTATATAGTCTTTGGCCTATGAAATAAAATTTTGATATTCTAAATTCAGTATATGTAGAGTACAATTTCTTGTCAATAAGAATTAGACTATTAAAGTATTCAAAAATGTTCTCTGTCCTTGTTGTATATTAAACCTAATAATTGCATGATATGGTTTTAAATTGCTGAAATTGAATGAATCCTGTTAAGAAGCATGAATTGAAAAAAAAAATGGAAACAATTTTAATTTAAAATGTCAGTTTTTAATCCTCTTATCATACAGATACTGTATTTTTGTTCAACGTCCTAAATATGATAATATTTAATAAAATGCAGGCAAAGCTTTCATTTTTAAATTTGTAATATATATATTAATTATACTATTTGCTGAAAATAAAAACCAATACTAAATACAGTCGTGCCTCGTTATCTTGAACTCGATTGGACCGAGAAAGAAACTCAGAGGTGTCCAAGGGTTCGAGATATCAAGGGTAAAATACTTAAGAAATACATGTATGTGGTTAGGACTTTTCAATCACTTCAACATATCCATGGTATTTGAGATATCCGTGTTCGAGATACCGAAGTTCAACTGTATATCTGTTGTAGATATATTTTCTGGCATTATGATAAATGAATTCAATATGTTTTAGGCTATAATATTAGACCTATCATCAAAAGTAAAAGCAAATGGATGATAAAAAAAAGACTTCCTTACATATAGTCTTAATGAGGAGAGTTCCAAGGCCAATTTTCATTGTAAATGAAGTTTACAGTATTTTTTTTCACACAAATTCTGTGGAACATGGAGAGCTATGTGTAGATTAATTGTATTAATCTTCTCTCCAACCATATTCAGTGCAGTTTTTAATTCCCTTTGGGGAATGATATTTTGTAAATGGATTCCAGGGTTTTATTGGTAAGTAGTGTATTAACTGGATAATTCATGAAGGCCCTAGCATCTGTATCATCAGTTTAGAACTTGACCCAGATTCTGTATATTATTAGGACTTTTAAGTCACTCAACTGACCTATTGCTTTCTCCTTTTTTTTGTCCTCCATAGTGTTAAAAGTTTATTTTAAATTCATTATCACTTCAGGCCTTTTGTATATTTAGATATCAACCTTCAGGCAATGCCCTATTTTAGGATAAAGGATGAGCTTGAAGTAAAAAATATGAGTTCAGAAAAAAAGAATTAATTAACCTTCATTTTTGAAAAGATGTAATTTTATATGACTTTTGAAATTCTGAATTTGTACAGTCAAACCTCATTATTTCAACCTTGATGGGACTGAAAAAAAACAGACATCCAAGGGATCAAGATATTGAGGGTAAAATACTTAAAGAAAAGTGCTTAGGACTTCAAAATACTTTGACATACACATGGTATTTGGGATACTGGCCACTATAAATAAGACAATTTATAATCTGACTAGTGGAATGTATGTTAACGTTGAATAATTATTGTACTTATTTTTTTTTCTTTCCAGTGAAACAAATTGCTTGGACACTGGTCTGATCATAGAGATATGGAATAAAGGCATGTTATGGGACAAACTGTTGGGTCTTCATTGGTTACCATTGAGGGACATCCATCACTCCAACTCAGTAAGTACTGCATTCCAGCTCACCACATTCAAGGCTGAATGATTTTAACATCATCCAAAAATGGTGTCTGTAAAAAATTTTTTAAAAAATTTTAAAAACCCGAAGATTTTGCCATTTCTCTTTTGTCTGCAGGGGTAAGGTTTCTTTTCTTGAACTGGTATGTATAGTAATCGATAACTTTGAACATGGTTTAGCTTAATTATCAGCTTGAAGACTGTTTTCTCCTAAGATGTGCTTTAGATCAAGGTTTTTCTGGGTTTGTGACTTGAACTATTTTTAAGACAACACTTCTATAAACTTACTGATGGTATAGAGCATATTTTATATACATAATCCCTTTTTATATTGATAAGTCACTTAAATTTTTCAACTCAAAGTTGTGAAATGACCTTCACGTATGTTTATGCATCCAAGATCAAGGTCACTCTGGATTTCAGATAATTTAGAAATACTGTAGATTCCTAAATATATGCGAGGAATTATTTAGTGCATAATTTCACGAGAAGCACCACTCATGAAATGAAATTACTCACTTATATTTTTATGGTGCTGAAATCCATGTAAAATCTCTAGATCAACCGTACTAGGGGTGCAACGATACACTAACCTCACGATACGATACGTATCACGGTATTCAGTTCACGATACGATACGTATCACGATACATGACCAGGTTAAAAAGTCTTTCAAGTTTGTCATCATATTTTTTTTAAAACTTGACAGGGTTATACAAAATTTTCGTATTTTTTAATAATAATTAAAATAACATTTTGTTGACTTGAATTAGATTGTTAGGTGGATCTTTTGAGTTGTGACAACATTCTAAACTAATGATGAACATTTTGCAGGAAACTACGGGGACCTTTCCAAATAATCTACCTTTTAAAATGGAATGAAAAAGGAAGACATTCATTCTTTTATTCCTTTTATTAACGTAAAAAACCAATTGTCATATTTCTCATGTTAATACGTTTTAGTCAACAAGACAGCGAATTTTCATCAAAATACACATGTGATGGAATATCGTGTATTACCAAAGAATACGTTTAGATCTAAAGGGTTTATCATTTGTCTTAACATCTTTAACTTATAATCATATTAAGTCCTTCTCCGTGTTAAATCTGAGGTCTGTAAGATGCTGGAGACTTTTACGTTTCACTGCCGTAAATGCGTTATCGGCGACCTCACGTTTTGCGCGGAAGCCATTTTGAAATAGTAAAGAAGGAAATAAAATGGACAAAACGATAATTCTGGACTGATTGAACTGAACCGCGATATCAGTTTAGCGTAACGTGAATTGAACCGTGGAAAAATATACCGCAATATACCGTCAAACGGTTTATCGTTGCACCCTTAAACCGTACACTCGCCAATTATTGTTCTAGCGATTTGATGTCGAAGGGCCATTTCATAATATTAAGTACTTGCGTAAAATAAGGAATCTACAGTACTATCTAATGATTTTTTTCTCTTAAAGGTGTATATTGATATGAAACATACTCTGTCAAAGTAAAGAACACAAAAAAATATTCACTTTTATTTTTGTATTGCTGAGATAGATGTAAAAAAACACTTCAACAACAGTCCACTTCTCGTGATTGGACGTCTACGATATACTTACTCAAGTAAAAATAAGGAATCTACAGTATGTACTTATTTTCACAAAGAATCAGGAAAAACTTGATTAGAACCTTTGATAAAAATGTTTTCCTGATCCTGTCAAAATGACAAATAAATGAAACTTGAAGCAATCGTTTAAAAGTTTCTTATGTTGACCAAGCTCTAGAAAAATTTCCTTGACTGAAGCAGAGAGAAATGCATAGAGGAAGCACACTGAAAGGTCATAACTTTGCCAGGAATAATCCATAAAAGCAGCACTTAATTCTCATTAAATACCAAGTGCTGTGCTGACATGAACAGCTCCAAGTGAAGAGTTTTCCAGACGTTCTGGATTTAATCAAGGGTTTGGACTGTTTTAGTGATGGGCCATAATACCTTATAAATGCCGTCTGTTAATCATTTACCATGTATGAATCCTCTTACAGAAGAAAAACTCAATATTTTTAGTACGATTTTCTTAGAATATCTGATTTGCATAATTGTTTAAAGTGTGGATTTGTTAGTTAATACTGCAGACCACATAATTTTCTTTGACACCATATTTTCATGAAATTAGCTATGTGATATTTTTTAGCGAGAAATTTTCTTGAATTTTGGTAATTTTTGTAAACAATCTTGGTAATACAAATATATGTGATATTGAAATTTTTGCAGACAGACATTCTTGTGTAAGTAAATAAAGTTCTCATGAATAAAAAGTGAATTAAAGTACTCAGTGGAACCCCCAGTCTGTAAAATCTCGATCGTTTTGTACATAATTTCAGTCCAGAATACTGTACAGGGGGAAAATAACTCGCGGTGTTAATATTCGCTATATTCATGGTGTTAATCAATCCGTGAATTCAAGAAACAGTGAATAAGTTTTAAATATTAAACCTCAATGTTTTATTTGGAAATTTGAGAATAGACTAAGATAGGTATATATACGTACAATACATGGTCATTTCAGTAATTACGAGTAGTACTTGTCATTCAATTATCTTAATTATCACGCTTTACTTTAATTTAAATAAGCAGCTAATAACCTGTATTTATTGTTAAAAAGCCGTTTTAATATATACATGCTGCATCAATCAAAACACATGGGTCATTGGTTTTGATTACCCGTGCGTAACGTTACCACCTGTATTTGTTACCTACATTAGCATTATGCGTATTAGTTTTTATGGAAATTTTGGTTTAAAAAAAATACCATTCGAATAACTATAGACCTTGCTGAAGATATGGAAGGATATTATTATGTATATACATTAATACTTTTATTAGCATCCAGTGTTTTTTTTTTTTTTCGCTGCGATGTGTTATACCTTCGGAAAGATGTGTACATATGCACTCATCATAAAAGCTTATAGGAAATTCATTTGACGTTTATAGTAAAAAAAAAACTTAATAACGGCACTTGTTTTTATTAATCATCAATTAACTACTAAATCTTATCATTTTATATAAACCTACCCTGTTGTTTGTGAACGCTGATTAATGTTGTTCTAGCTATACTATGGATTACACGGATAAAGACAAGGGAGGTAACTTTTATTATATTCCGATTCCGCGAATTCAACAAACAGCAATCGTGTCCGAGGAGAGAAAAACGTTAAAATTACAACCCATGAAATTAATCCCCTATACAGTATATTATTGAAATTTTTAAAGCATTACGTAAGTACATTTGTATCATCAGGCTCGATCAAGAGTGCTCAGTGTCGGGCTTTGGAATATAGCATGTGTATCCTCTATATAGTTAGAGACCAGAAATGATGTGCCTTTTGATTGAAGAACAATTCTCTTAAATAAAAAAACTTCAGGAATGATGTCTTAGTTTGAAAGAACATGTTTGTTGGTTGTAAGCATTTGAATGGTGCTTTTCTTTCCTTTAAAATAAGCAAGAACTGTTTGAGATGTTTAATAAAATTACTATATAAAAACTCCACCCCCTGTAGTTTTAATTGCCTTATATTGTGAATTTTGATATAAATATAGACAAGGTCAATACAGAAACTTTCTTTTTCTTAAAAAGTTTTGTAACTATAGCTCAGGATTACAAATAACCACTCTCCCAGTTTGCTCTTTGTAATATTAAAAAAAAAAGTAAAATGGCGACCATGGTCTCTGAATGACTGAAAAAGTAAACACACTCATTCCGTTAGTAATATCTTGCTTCATAAAATTATTTAAGAAATGTTTAGCAGAAACAAATTCAACCTGTTTCTCCAGACTATTTCATGTCTGTTCAGCACTCTCATTTATAGTTATCCCTTTTCAGACCATTTTCAGCTGTATGATAGTATGGTTCTTACTCGGGTGAGCATTGTGATCCATAGACCACTTGTTTCTTGAAGGCAGTCTGTACTTAACATTAATTTATCTTTAATTCTGACTGCAGTTGTAATCAGGATATGATAATGGGATTTTCTGAGGTAATCCAATCCAGTCAGGTACATCTATCAATATTTTCTGCCATTTAGAGGACTTACTGTCTTTGTCTAAGCAATATATCTTGGGGGGAAGTTTTTAGACTATTGATTGTAAAATGATCCCGAACTTGCTTCATAAAATCATAGTCATTCAACAGAGTGATAAACTACCTAGAAGGGTGATATAAGATCTGCTGCAGGTTTCGGGGGCCTTTAGTCATGGGTGATAAATGTGTGAACCATCCATCAGCAGTGAAATCCACCGACTTTATCTACAGATCATTTTGCCACTAAATAGAGATGGGATATGGCTGATATGCAAATGGGTGCAGTATTTATTGCCAGATTATTGTTTCCTTATCAGAATATAGAATAGTTAAATGACAATTGATTCTTAGAAGGGAATTCCCAGGAGACTTTAGATGGAGGAGAATCTTCCATGCCTGGTGACACTTAACTTTTGCTTCACAGACCCAGGCTATGTGTGTATTGATTCTCTTTATCCATATTTAGCAGGCACCTAAAAAAAAATAAGGAAGAAAAAACTCTTAAGAGGTTTTTTGCCTTCAATCTCTGAATAGATTTTTCCTTTAGCCATTCTAGCTCTTAAAGTGTATGTCTAGCCATTGGCAGTAATGATGAATACAGAGCTTGTATGGGTCTGAATGTAACTACCCACTATAAAGTCTGGTTAATTGGAATTAGGTTCCATTTCTGACATATCCAAGCTAATGTCACTGGTAATTATTGAATTGATGAATACTATGCACCCAAACTTAGTCTAATGGACCGTGGGAGTGATTCAATCAATCATTTGATTAACTTGTTTGACCATACAATATCATAGATTAAATCATTAAAATATTTACCCAATTTGGCTGTTTAGTTAACTTGTAGAGATCTAAATTTGATAGAATTGCAACATGGTTTATTATTGGTGTATAACCTGGTTATCTCAAACTGATGGGACCGAGATTAAACTTCGAGATATCCGAGAATTCAAGATAATGAAGTTAAAAAACATAAAGAAAGAACTGGTGGGGACTGCCAAATCACATATCTCTGGTATTCGAGATACCAGTGTTCAAGTTGATGAAATTCTGAACTGTACATGAATTAGATTATACACAGTAAAACTTATTTATAGCAGAACTCTGTTAAATGAAAATCTGCTAATAAGGAATCCTTTTTTTCCCAAAAAGCTAAGTGAATTACAGGTATGAAATGAAATTGATTTATTAACAAAATAATTTTGAAATGGGAGATTTACAGTGACTGATTGCTTTGAATGGACTTAACGTAGGTCGCGGGTTTGCTGACGTCGTTAAAACTGTGTACGCAATTTATATGATTTGGGCGATTTTCTTGTGCACATTTGATTATGACGTCACAATGAAAAAGAAATCTGCGACGATTTTTGTTTTATTAAATTCTTCAGTATATCATTATTTCGCTATAACTTTTCTTGGAATTGGCAGTTTAGTGTTATATTATTTAAGCAACAACTTACCACAAATAATGGAGGCTTTTTACGATATGTATAGTCGATACAATACTTAGATACAACTTTTTGTTGGAATTAGTAATTTAGTGAAGAAGGCTTATTACGATTCGAATGATCGACACTGGAAATATTAAAAAATGTTTAATTATATTTGTTATCAATCGCATCTTCTCGGGCCTTTCCTGCAAGTTTGGAAAAACAAGTGGTTGTTTTTCGGCTTGTCGGAAAGGCCCGAGAAATTGCGATTTGTTTTCACTTGGTATCGCGAAACGATATGGGCACAAGGTTCAACTGACCTTTTTTCCTTTGATCGTATTTGAATTAACAGTTTATCAAGAAAGAAGCCATTATTTAAAAAGAAAAATCGCAAATACACCTGTTACATCAAAAGATTAAACTTTATTTTTAAAAAGGATATTTTTAAAATATATAGATCTACAAGTTTATCATAAATTAAATACTGCTAACGTACGATGAAACATAAAGACATATTTTTAGCGACACTGGCCTCCTGTTAGGGGACAAGTATTTGATTCTGAGGGAGAGGGGATGGCAAATTTTACCGAGTCAGATTGTTTATATTCATGTCGGTGAAGAACAGATTATTTATTCCCCCCCCCCCCCCCCAAAAAAAAAAAACAAGGACATATTATTTATTTTATCTTCACTGAAAAAAGTCTGACAAGCAAAAAAAAAAAAAAAAAAAAAGGACAACATCAAAGTTGAAAACTCCCATTGGGGGGGGGGGGGGGGGGGGTGTTAGAACTAGTCATGGGCAGATTATTTTTTTTCTTGCCCAGTCGAGGACAGATTATTTATTTTCAACATTTTTGAGGACAGATTATTTCCAAAATCTGTACTCCCCCCCCCCCCCCCCGAATGAAATGATCGCGTCCCCTAAGCAACAGCTTGCAATGCTGTTACCTAAAGATTTTATTCGCTACTTTGCTTTCCATGTCCAACAAGTAGAATTAATGTTCTAAAAAAACTGGCTTTTGTTTACAGACAAAATTAATTTTTAAATTCTCGTCCCATTTACCCCTCTGAAAATGTGGTATGTAAAAATAAATATTTTGTTTCAATATACATGTATACTGAAAATATATTGTATTTAGCCGGGACGATATTTGACAGAAATTCGTAGATTTAAGCACCTTGCTGAATAGTCTGAATAAAAACATTTTATGTACTTGAATTAGAGAGATACCGTTTTCCGCCAGCACGCTGGAAAAGAAAAATACACAGGCAAATGTAAGGATACGTCTAATCTAGAAAAAAAAAACAAAAAACAAAAAAAAACAGAAAAGAAACGGTAAGAAAACAACACATAAATTGGAAGAAAGAAACTAAAGGATCGATTGTTGTTTTACATCCCTTGCGAGAATTTTCACTAATATATATAAGACGTACAAAAAGCCTAATCTGAAGAGAAACATGCATGTCTAATAATCATTTCATTGATATTGAATTATTATGATACGATTCACGGGTCATTTGAAAGCAGACAGACGTGAATTTCTTTTTTATAAAAAATAGTTCATCTTATTTTTCTGCACTGAATACCGGATAGATATTCACGATGTCAAGCATGACGTCGCGATATTTTATGACGTCGTTCTTAAAAATGTTACATTTTGCGATATAAAAGCAATTATCCACATTTAAATTACGCGAAAACTAACCCGAAGACATATTAATTTTTTCACATTGATTTATTTCAAATCAATTCTTTGTTAAAATACCAAAGAGGAAACAATTTCGTCTGCACCATTTAAAAGTTATTGATATTTTTTGAAACAAAATCTTGCCTCAAAACGAGCCGAAAACGACGTTTTTCTTATATAATTCAATAGAATAACATTGAAAATGTAACGACAACAATGGCATGTGTGGGATTTAATTACACAAAAACGATACAGACGAATTTAATAAAATTTTCAGAGAATATAAAGCGAAGGTAGAGGATTCATATAACTAATTTTCATGGTATGTTTTCGGACACTTTTAAATGGCCTGCAAACCCGCGACCTACGTTAAAATTATTTTTGTAGATTTGTGGAACAAAAGCAGACTTTTAAGGATATTACCTTGGAATTCATTATATTTCTTGGGAGTTCTATTTTTGAGGATTTTATGGACACTCCTTCCCTATAAATTTACTTACTCATTGAATATTAATATACAGGAAATTAATCTTTCATAATAAGACAAAATTATGTACATTTTTAAGGTCATTTTTATGTACATGAACCTTTATATTTATATCCATAAAAATTGCCCATCCCTTGTTATAGAAACAATACAGAAGTGTCATAGACTGTCCAGAATTTTACACCAGGACTCTGCCCACTCAGTATCAACTGCAATAAAATTGCTAAAGTAGCATTATAAGGGTGTTACCATTAAGGTGTGGGTGTTCATTGAATTATTAAGATTTCAACTTTGCCAGAGCCAAAAGGATTTTATCGACTAATCAGTTCAATGCAAACTATCCTTTAGAAGTTTCTTTTCATGCCCTATTATGAATGGTGCATATAGTGTTTGTCTTGTCTGTCTTTCATCCTTCCCTGTCCTTCTGACTGTCCATCACCATGATCACACTTTGACTTCAGCTGTAGTTTTAAAGAAACTGTTCATGTTACAGTAATCAAAGTTTATACTATGATACATATTAGTGAGAAATTCAGTATAATCTGTAGTGTGTCATGACCATGACCCAAGGTTATTTTTGGCAATTTCAAGGTTACTAGTAGAAAAAATGTCAATAATTTTCTTATTGAGAATCATTGGAAGTCCATATGTCAAATACACATTCATTGTGACCAGAGGGTGTGTGTCATGATACAAGGTCATTTGTAGAAGTTCAAGGTCACATTCAGAAAACTGTTTAATTCCTGTCCTTGCCATATCCTGGTAATTGAAAAGATGTGGAAGCTTATACTTGACAATTTAAACACTGGATCCAGCAATTTAAAAAAAAAAATGTAGCAGGGGTATCATTTTGTGAGCTCACTCACAGTAGTTCTAGCTAAACATTCATTTGATACAAGACAGTCTTACTTGTACTTCACATTGTTGAGGTGATTTTGATTACCTATGTTCTTGAATTACAGGAAGGAGAAGGGCAGTGGTTGTCCTTGGACAGTGAGCTGATAATGAGAAGCGGCAAGATCACAGGCACAAGGTTCCCCACCGGGCACACAATACTTCTGGATGCCAGATTTGAATTACCTTACGGTAACATTTTCTCAATAACTTGAATGTTATTTTGGGGGGAAAATCAAAATCATAATTAAACTGTATATATTCAAATTGTAAGAAAATTGGCATAAGAAACACTATATCTGAACATGCACATAGTGATTCCATAATATTTAAATCAGTAATGGTAAAGATAACTATAAATTTGAAAGTCATACTTTTATGAACTTGTGTATCACCATTTAGCAGCACTATAATAAGTTACCTCTCTGTATCACACAGTTTTGACATCAAAGTCACCAGAACATTATATCCTCCCTCTATATAAAGACAAAAAGTTAATTTAAAACAGCTGGTTTCTTAGAAACATTTCAAAGCATCCTAAGTTTATCTGAGTTCATTTTCATTCAGATTAAAAAATTTTACTATGAAGCCTTTCAAATCTTTTTTAGCCATGACTAGAAACTGCTGCAAATCCAGTGTTTTCCCTTTATTTCAAAGTAAAGGGTTAGAGAACAATTGTAACAGGCTTTGGGATGAGATTTATGCATGGATCTCTGTGGACTTTACAACAATTAAATTTTGAAATTTCTATTTCTAAGCGGCATTTTTATGCCCCTGTATTGAAGATTCAAGGGTATATAGTTTTTGCCCTGTCCGTCCGTCTGTCTCTCTGTCTGTTTGTCCGCAAAAACTTTTACCTTTCCCATAACTTTTGATTGGTTGGAGATATGGCTTTCATATTTCACATGTGTATTCCTTGTGACAAGAACTTTCTTTGGGTACCACCATATTTGACCTTTTGACCTTGACCTTGGAGTTTGACCCAGTTTTGCAAAATTTTACCGAACATTAACCTTGGCCATAACTTTTGAACGGGTGGTGCTAGGGCTTTCATACTTCACATGTGTAATCCTTGTGACAAGACCTTTCTTTGAATACCAACAACTTTGACCTTTTCACCTTGACCTAGGAGTTTGACCTACTTTTGAAAAACTTTAACCTTGGTCATAACTTTTGAACGATTGGTGCTAGGGCTTAAATACTTCATATAAGTAATCCTTATGACAAGGCCTTCCTTTGGATAAAACAACTTTGGCTCTCTGACCTTGACCTTGGAGTTTGACCTACTGTTGGAAAACTTTAACCTTGGCCATAACTTTTGAACAGTTGGTGCTAGGGCTTTCATACTTCACATGTGTAATCCTTATGACAAGGCCTTCCTTTGGATACCAACAACTTTGACCTTTTGACCTTGACCTTGGAGTTTGACCTTCTTTTGGAAAATTTTAACCTTGGTCATAACTTTTGAATGATTGGTGCTTTGGCTTTCATATTTCACCTGTGTATTTCTTGGGAGAAGGCCTTTCCTTGGGCACCATTAATTTTGACCATTTGACCTTGACCTTGATGTTTGACATACTTTTGAAAAGGTATATTCCTCGAGACAAAACCTTACTTAGGGTACCAACATATTTGATTTGCATTTGAGAAAGTTTAACCTTTGCTATAAGTTGCCATACGGGGGCATCAGTGTTTCACAAACACATCTTGTTATCAATATCAATTAAAGTGGTTAATTTGGCCGTTAGCTGGTTCTTACAGAAAACACAGCAAATAGGACCCCCCCCCCCCCCAAAAAAAAAAAAAAACAAAAAAACGCAGATAACATTACTTCAAACCATTCAAGCTTGAATTAAATCATACTCACAATCACTTTTCAATGAAGTGAGACAATATGACATACATGATTTTAAACACAAGGCAGGCTCAAACTATATCTTTAAAGTTGCTTTAAAAAATATACCAAGCTCAAACTAAAACTTTCCAGCCTAATTAACAATACATGCTTTTGAAATTTTAATTTTTATGCCTATTGTATGACTTAAACATCTGGCTCTTTTGTAGTGAAATAAAAAAAAATCTATGCAATTTATATGTCAATCTGCAGCTTAAATTTGGAGTTTCTGTAGAAGTACTGTTTTCTGTGTGTGTTTTTTTATGCAATGTACAAGGCCACAAATTTTCTGCAGAAATTTGTCCCAGGGTACATTAAATACATTTAAGGCATATAGTGAACTTGAAAAATCTGTGTAATTTTCTACCCACAGATTGAACCTAAATTGTGATTCCATGGAATTATGACCCCATGGAAAAAAAGTATGTTTTTTATTGGCCTAGTATTAAAGTACGATATCATCACTTACAGATGTAAAAATTGATTGATAAGCTATCATCATTAAAGTTTGTATTTATATAGCCCTGTATAGCGTGTTTTCATGTACAGCTCTGTGCATATATAGTGCCCTTAGATGGAATTAATCTTGGAATGAAGTATTGACCTAAAAATTTGTTATTGTCCCCTATGAACCAGACAAAATATACCATCCATTTTAAGAAACACCAAGGGGTTTTTTTCTTCATTAATTTACCAAGCAAAAAATGGCTTTATTTTGATGCTTGTAATGTCATAACAAACAGTGGAAGACAGATTCATGACTGTCTTGGGAAAAAGAGAGCGATTGAGAGAAAAAAAAATAAACAGTAGGACTTTTCTTTCCAATGAAATGCAAATTTTTCCACAGCTTGCATTGGTGCCTATTATGTAGGTCAACAAATGGTAAAATATTGATCAGGAAATTCCTGGTAATCTCTACCATTTTTCATCAGATGCAGTAATTCATAAAAAAAGAAATTAGCATTAAGTTATAATGATTATCTGTAGATAGTCGGTATTGTGCACTTCTACAGATTCTGTTAATGTATTGAAACAAGTTTCTTTCAAGAGCAGGATGCAATCGTTTACAATCAGTAATTGGGCAGAATGTAAAGAAATGTTGAGAATGGAAGAAGATATTGACCTTTTTTTGTAGTAGGGAGAGGAAAAGAAGGGGGGTATTGAAATCAAAGAGCTGATTGCTAGAAAATGTCCTTAATGTTTCTGAAGTACGTACATTATTGAGACAAGGTGCATTTATACATACAAATCTGAATATGTGTACTAGTAGTAAGGAAATTTTGTGCTATAAAAAAAACTCTTTAAAAAAAATGAAGTCAACTTAGGGAAGGAAAGGGGGGTGGTATTTTCTGTTTAAAAAACCTCAGACAGATTTACTACCGTTAGGTTTATTGTAAAATTTGCTACGTCTTTAACAATTGGAATATTTAGAGTGCCTTTGCTATGAGCTTAGATACTAATATTTGTTTTCAAAACGGGAGTGCAGTAGGAAACACTGACTTCAATATACTGCAGTCTAAGTTTTTTCAGAGAATCAGAAGATCTTTAAATATAGTAAAATAAAAAAAAAAAAAACTAAATTAAAAACTTATCTGAGCTGTTTGTTTTACAATTGCAATGTTTAAGCTAACAGTCTACATATTTATAACACATCTCTAAAGGTTAGTAATTTTGAAAGTTGATGTTTAAAAATGTTATTGAAGGCAATTCATTTATTGATATTAAGTCGTTTTCATGCACTAATTTCAGTAAATGATATTTTTCAAGGAATAAAAAAAAGATGTGAAATGCAGGATTTCCCTGAAAGTCAGAAATATTCTTGACATATAAGTATATTGAGTGAGGCATCAAGATTCTGAGATAAACTCTTCCGGAATGTGCATTGTGCTTGAGATACATGCATGCATACAATTTTCTGTGGGGACCGTTTGAGTTAAGCCAGATTCCCTTAGAAAACATACCAGAAAGTTGGTTGAGAAAAAACAGAGAATATTCTCGGTGGTCTCATTCTGTAGTGTCAGATAAGTCATTTTTATAAGGGGTTGCTTTTTATTACAGCAGCTATGCCCACAGATGGAATTGGGTTAGATATGTATGCATAAATTTCCATTTGAGCAGTGTCCCTTAAGACTAACAAGGGATAATGTTGAACATGGTGATCAATGAAACTAAGTCTGATTGCTTGACTTGCTGTCTAGACTGGATTTCAGTTTCATTAGCCAAGGATGATAAAAGTTTATCAATATGCTGTTGATGTTTCTTTGTGTAGTGAGGTCAGGTCCCAAACACAAGCTACAGGGGGGCACTGTGTTAAGTTCTTATGCACTTGTAAATATAACCTTTGACATATTGTTCTTGACCTTTCTTGAGAGATAAATTTGGGATTAAAATTGGTGATGCATCATTTTGAAAAATTATCTATAATAGTTTCATACATGTATTGATTTCAGGATTCTCATCCGAGGTTATGTTTTAGGAGGAGGGGTTAATTATTGTAAATTATTATTTAACTACTGTTTAAAAATTTCCTTGTTTGTAAAATAAAAACCCTGTTTATTGATAGCAGTATCATTTAAAACTTTACAGAGCATAAAAAATTAACATTCTTTGGACTGAATTGTGTCTTTTTCTACCCTTGTGACTCAATTGGGTCAATAGGTAGCAAAATTTCAATATTTTTGACCCTATAATTTTTAGGTCACCTGAGTCACTCAGGTGACCTATTGCTATCTGTTTTTGTCCGTCGTCGTGCGTCGTCCGTCGTGCGTTAACTTTTGAACATTTTTAACTTCTTCTCTAGAACCGCTCAACCAATTTCAACCAAATTTGGTATATAGCATCTATGGGTGAAGGGGAACAAAAATTGTGAATTTCATGGTCCCTGCCCCCCCCGGGGCCTGAGGGGTGGGGCTAAAACCACCAAAAATAATGCAATCTTTAAAAATCTTCTTCTTTACTCCCGGACATGAAGCAGTCAAACTGTTGGCATCATTGTAATAAGCATTGAGCCCTCTACCAAAATTGTGAAATTCATGGCCCCAGGGTTAGGGGTTCTGGCCCCAGGGTGGGGCTATATAGATCATATAGTGAAAGTGCATAAATTCTTTGAAAATCTTCTTCTCTGCTCCTGGGTATTAAATAAAGTTACTAAGTACATAGTTATGATGAGCAAGACTGTCTCTTCCAAAATTGTGAAATTCATGGCCCCAGGGTCAGGGGTTCTGGTGTTAGGGTGGGGCTGTATTGATTATATAGTGAAAATGCATTAATTCTTTGAAAATCTTCTTCTCTGCTCCTGGGTATTAAATAAAGGAACTAAGTACATAGTTATGATGAGCAAGAGTGCCTCTTCCAAAATTGTGAAATTCATGGCCCCAGGGTCAGGGGTTCTGGTGTTAGGGCGGGGCTGTATTGATTATATAGTGAAAATGCATTAATTCTTTGAAAATCTTCTTCTCTGCTCCTGGGTATTAAATAAAGGAACTAAGTACATAGTTATGATGAGCAAGAGTGCCTCTTCCAAAATTGTGAAATTCATGGCCCCAGGGTCAGGGGTTCTGGCCCCAGGGTGGGGCTATATAGATCATATAGTGAAAGTGCATTAATTCTTTGAAAATCTTCTTCTCTGCTCCTGGGTATTAAATAAAGGAACTAAGTACATAGTTATGATGAGCAAGAGTGCCTCTTCCAAAATTGTGAAATTTATTGCCCCAGGGTCAGGGGTTCTGGCCCCAGGGTGGGGCTATATAGATCATATAGTGAAAGTGCATTAATTCTTTGAAAATCTTCTTCTCTGCTCCTGGGTATTAAATAAAGTTACCAAGTACATAGTTATGATGAGCAAGAGTGCCTCTTCCAAAATTTTGAAATTCATGGCCCCAGGGTCAGGGGTTTTGGTGTTAGGGTGGGGCTGTATTGATTATATAGTGAAAATGCATTAATTCTTTGAAAATCTTCTTCTCTGCTCCTGGGTATTAAATAAAGGAACTAAGTACATAGTTATGATGAGCAAGAGTGCTTCTTCCAAAATTGTGAAATTCATGGCCCCAGGGTCAGGGGTTCTGGTGTTAGGGCAGGGCTCTATAAATTATATAGTGAAAATGCATTAATTCTTCGAAAATCTTCTTCTTTGCTCCTGGGTATTTAATAAAGTAACTAAGAACGTAGTTATGATGAGGAGGTGGGCCTCTTCCAGAATTGTGAAAGCCATGGCCCCTGGGTCAGGGGTTCTGGTGTTAGGGCGGGGCTCTATTGATTATATAGTAAAAATGCTTTAATTTTTTGAAAATCTTCTTCTCTGCTCCTGGGTATTATTTAAACAAACTAAGTGCATGGTTATGATGCATAAGGATGCCTTTTCAAAAATTGTGAATTTCATGGCCCCAGGGTCAGGGGTTCTGGTGTTAGGGTGGGGCTGTATTGATTATATAGTGAAAATGCATTGATTCTTTGAAAATCTTCTTCTCTGCTACTGGAGACTATTTAAACGCATAAGGATGCCTTTTCAAAAATTGTGAATTTCATGGCCCCAGGGTCAGGGGTTCTGGTGTTAGGGCGGGGCTCTATTGATTATATAGTGAAAATGCATTGATTCTTTGAAAAACTTCTCTGCTACTGGAGATTATTTAAACAAACTAAGTGCATGATTATGATAGACAAGGATGCCTCTTCCAAAATTTTTAAATATATGGCCTCAGTTTTTGGGGTTCTTGAGGAGGGGGGGGGGGGCTAGGGCAACAATGCTTCATCTATCAGTGTATTTAACTTCTAAATTGTTGTATTATACTCAGGTGACCGTTAAGGCCCTTGGGCCTCTTGTTCAGATAAACAGTTTATGTCAATTATTTTTTGATTTGCATTGATTTATTAAAATTATTTTGTTTAGAAATAACATTTCTGAGGCAGAGCATTTTTTTGTTTGTTGCCAAAACCAAACAAAATTTTCAACCTTAGAATTTACAGAGCCTGTATTACAATTTTGATTCTTAACACGTCATTTTTTGCTCATTCTTTACACAAGAAGTTGCTGTGAGAGTAACAATGAAAAGTAGAAATCACTAAGGATTATAGAATCATATTTGGTTTGAAAAAAACCCCAAAAAAACGCTCATCCAAACACACAGAGAATGTATGGAAGGATTCTTGATTTTCATTCCACACAGTAAACAAAAATGTCAGTACACATATCCAAAGACAACTTTTTTTTATATCTCAATAAATAAACTAAAGATGATGTTACATTCTGATGTATACAGTGAAAACTGTCTAATCCAAAACCTGTGCAACCCATTCCACTGTGAATTCTGAACCTTATTTAAATTCCCATTTTACCATTATGTTCCTTACACTGTGCAATCTGACACCTTGTCTATTCTGACACAAATTTTTTCTCCCAGTGCATGTTGGATTAGACAGAATCACTGTATTTTATCTATGTTTCCATATGACATCATCTAAGTCACAATAGAAATTGTGTAGAGATTATATCTCTATTTTCTTTAAAGGATGTTAAAAATAATGACATTTACATTATATACTTATTAACCCCTTCCACATTTAGCTAAATAAAAAAATTGACTTCAATTTTCATAAATGTTTTCCCATAGCTATAGTTAATATGAGGCATATGCATACAAACAGGTTCATTAATAATATAAGATTGTTCGAATCAAAATCTCATGCATTATTGATACAGAAATATTTATGGCATGACAATTTTTTTTAGAAAACCAGTTTGAATTTCCTTTTAATCAATGATGATTTAAATTCAGTTTTAGAACTTTATATTGGTCTGAATTCTTAGGGTAAGTTACATTTAGCATTCAGTTTTATGTGTGATGCATGTAACATTTTGGGAGGAAGTCAATTGATGTATGATTTTTCAGACAAATGAGACATTCATGTTTTTTTAAATGTATGACAGTTATGTAACTAAAATTGAAAGATGATAGGAAGAGAATTATGTAAGACCCACACTGAATGAGGGAACATTTGTAGAAGATTGGTTCTTGTGGGAATGATGTGATTTCAATTTACATGGGTGATAGAAACTACAGAAAATGATACACATATCATTTAGAAATAATGGACACAGAGTCAGAATTTTTTCAAATTTAGTATAAAGTGTACTACAGTTTTTAGTTGAAATCTTTTTAAGAAGATAGAAATTGAAAATATCTGATTGATTTGATTTCTGTTTGGTTCTTTATTGTTGCTTTCTTTTTACTTTAAGATCTACCAGAGGCTGAAGCTGCTGAGCTGGAGAATAAATTAAAAGTCCTCAACACTATAGACCAAGAGGTATGTGTTAAATCCTAAATGCTGGATTTATGGCAAAAAATATATTTGCACCATTGCAGAGATGCAGTGGAATTGTATCCCTCTCCTGAAAATATCAGATTAAAAAGAATTGGAGAGGGCTACATTATTGCAGCTGCAAGAGTATGTGTTAAGGGCATACGCAACGTAGTTAGAACTTTATTGTCTTTTCCCCTGGAGTTGAAGAGTTCCAATACTAGAAGGGCCTGTGTGCAACTCTTTTTAATGTCTATATATGGTGCTGTACACCTCTTCTAAAACAAATTTGGATGAAAAATATCTACAATATATGTTTAGTATTTTTTGTATATTTTTCTTTGAATAATACAAGAATTTTCATCATTTGATATCTATTCAAAACCCCTGGTAAAGCATGCTGATTTTTTGTGTGCGAACATCTAATGGTAATATAATTTTAAATTAAGTATATCTTGAAAAATTATCAGTAGGTAAGGTATGTTGTATATGTCCTTAAGTCCTCAATACTATAGACCAAGATGTATGTCCTCACCACTATAGACTAAGACATATGTGTTAAGTCCTCAACACTATATACCAAGAGGTATGTTTTAAGTCCTCAATGCTAGAGAGCAAGAGGTATATGTCCTCAACATAGAGGTGTATGTGAAGTTTTTAATATTAGAGATCAAAGAGGTAAGTGACGGATCCTCAATATTAGAGATCAAAGAAGAAAGTGATAGGTCTTCAACCCTCGAGATCAAAGAAGTAAGTGATAGGTCTTCAATCCTCCAGCCAAAGAAGTAAGAGATAGGTCTTCAATCCTCAAGTCAAAGAAGTAAGTGATAGGTCTTCAATCCTCCAGCCAAAGAAGTAAGTGATAGGTCTTCAATCCTCGAGTCAAAGAAGTAAGTGATAGGTCTTCAATCCTCAAGTCAAAGAAGTAAGTGATAGGTCTTCAATCCTCGAGTCAAAGAAGTAAGTGATAGGTCTTCAATCCTCCAGCCAAAGAAGTAAGTGATGGATCTTCAATCCTCGAGTCAAAGAAGTAAGTGATAGGTCTTCAATCCTCCAGCCAAAGAAGTAGGTGATAGGTCTTCAATCCTCGAGTCAAAGAAGTAAGTGATAGGTCTTCAATCCTCAAGTCAAAGAAGTAAATGATAGGTCTTCAATCCTCGAGTCAAAGAAGTAAATGATAGGTCTTCAATCCTCAAGCCAAATTAAGAAGTAAGTGATAGGTCTTCAATCCTCAAGCCAAAGAAGTAAGTCATAGGTCTTCAACCCCAAAACCTCAAGACCAAAGAAGTCTATATAAAGTCCTCATTATCATAGAATAAATAGTATATATGTTTGTCCTCAATGCTAGAGTCTACAAGGTATGTGTTAAGTCTTCTACCAAGAGATTGTGTTTTATCCTCAGTTCTTAAGATAAATGAAAATGTTTTAAAGACCTCAACACTATAGACCAAGAGATGTGTGCAAGTCCTGGATTCTAGAGATCTCAACACTGTAACCCAAGAAGTATATCAAGACATAATTGTTAAACCCTGGCACAAGAGTCGAAAAAGGTTGCATGACTTGCAGTGTATACTTGGTCATGTATACCTGAATGCATAAGTTTATTTGTCAGGAAGATGATATTTTTTCCATTTAAACACTTGTATGTCAATGCTCTAGCTCAAAAAAAAGTAAGAAACTTGTATCTACTTTACAAATGATGAACTTTTTAACAATTCCCTAGTCTTTCCCAAACTGTTAAAGCTTGCACAAATGATTAACACCTAGTATTGATTACCAGCATGGCCACTTTCAGTTTCAACTTTAAATTGTAACTATAAGGTTAATGTTATTCAATACTGTTGTTATCATGAAATGAATATTCTCATGTGATTTTCAATATGAGTGAAAAAAATGACAAAATGTAAAATGATAATGTATCCAGCTGATATTTACACCCAAGTAAAGGGTACTTTAGCAATTGCTTTGTGTAGGGTTGATAGATGTCTAGCACTAATATCTAGTTGTTTCAGAAATATTTTATGTGTTTCATTTTTTTGCAGTTAATGACCATACAGCGCCAGAACACATACTCCACTCAGTGTAAGTAGACAGATTACACAGGAAAAGGAACATAACTCCTACAGTAATCAATCCTCTATTTTGATAAAGGAAAGGAAGCAATTGTACTTTTCATGTTTGCAAACAGAATATAACTTTATTCAAAATGTTTTTCAGTCAATTTCAATGAATTGAAGTAATTAAATGTTTTTTCTCTATATTATGGTCATGATAATTAAACAAAACTTCAGAAAACATGAAAAAATTGACTGTATGTATGCCATAAGATAACTTGTAACATTAATTTTACAGCTGGGATGTCTGAAGACAGTGACTATAAGAGTGACAATAGCTACCCCCCTCCTCACCAACATAATGTTTCTGTCAGACAGTTTCCTCTCCATGAACCAAGTCGAGATTTTTACTATAATGGACAGTTTGATTCATTTGATGGTGGGGGTTTGGATGATGATCGAAGAGGATCTTTTGATCGATTTGAAAGTTTTGATGAAGAGGAGTCGTACAACGATCATCATTGTCATGATGTTTATCAACGGGATTTATCTCCAGAGCCAGATAATGAATCTTATGATGAAGAAGAATTGACACACTGTTCAGAAAGAAGGAGTCAGGATGATCCGGATTATGATCAGGATCCAGATTACTCTTTACATGGATCTGAATATGATCAGGAGGAGTATGATGACTATGAACGTCCCAAACTGAATGAGAGGAGCTTCAGCGAGGAGGACGGGAGTTACTCTGGAGGAAGGGTGATGAGTCGGACTATCAGTGAGGAAGAATCCTCAAGTCGAGGAAGACTGTATGATAGGACTTTCAGTGAGGAGAGTAACAGACTGTATAGTGAGGAGAGCAACCGAGATCGGCACTCAATGGAGAGAACAATCAGTGAAGACAGTAGTCGAGAGAGACAGCAATATTACGATCAAGAAGATGATCGTCGGCCTTCTTATACGCACAATCATCGCGGAGGTTATGACTTAAAAGACAGAGATTTTGGTAGAGAGTGGGATCAGTACTATCAAGATGAAGAAACCACTTATGTTCAAAGTCGGAGTGACACAGAATCAGAGCACATGTCATATAATAGCAGACCAAGGAAAAGCAGGCAGTATACCTATACAAACAGAGGGTGGGTACCATTTCCTCTTGATTTCATAGAGTAAACATACCATATTTTGCAGAAAGGATATTAATCTATCTTTACATTCTTTGAAAGAAAAGGAAGTTATTTTATTTACAGTTGTTTTAAGCTTAGTGTGAGTTTATGTTTTGCAAGAAGCAGATAAAAAAAGAAAAATTAAAGTCTGTCACAACTACAGAAAGAAAAGACATAAATAGAAATAAGTTTGTTGGAAGTATAACTACTTTAAACTTATAGATAAAGCAATTTAAGTCTCTTAATATCTTTGCCAAAGTTTTAAAGTCCCCAAGTACTATTTTTTTCCTAAAGGTTTTTGCAAAAATTTATTAAGTACTATTATTCCATGTATGTAAATGATACTAGCATAACTTCAAAGAGAAATCCAATTTATGAAGATCTGTTGATGATGGCATATCATACAATATCATATATATTGGATGACAAGATAGTGTAGGAACTTTAAAATTGCAGTACTGAATACAACCCATTCGCTATGCAAATTTTTATTAAGTACAATAGAATGTGTATGGTCTCTTTCAAAAATGCAAACAACAAATGCGTAATTCTGTCCCAGGGGCCAAGCTGGGAAGAACATGCCCAGTTGACCTTTAGGGTAGATAGTGTATCTTGGACTGAATCACAGAAGAGGCATTTCCAATAACTCGGCACAATATTGTTAGAGACACAAGAGGCTACAATGAACAGCAGTTTGATGGTCCCAGAGGCAAGGCCAATCATTCAATTTTGTATGATGGGGGCCTTCTGTGGGAGATTAACCCATTTCATTGACATTAAAATTGTTTTCTACGTTGAAGATTACTTTAATGACCTAGAATAGGATTAAATCATTATGATTAATTTTTTTTTTTCGAATTTATTTCGGGAAATGCCAAGTTTTCCCCTTTTTTGTAAAACTTAAAAGGTAAATGGAAAGATTATACTTTTCTTATTTCTTAATATAAAAGCAGGGGCAAAAAATGAAGTTTGTAACAATCAGTTTGAATGAAAAAGTATGCAAAATGTCAAAAGAAAACATGTGCATTACTTTCTACCAACATTCACTTCTGGAATGAGCACAGATCCTTAGCCCACTTTTAAGTCATTTTCTCTCCAACATCTTGAAAACAAATTGCCAATAGAAAAAGCCCTATATAGTCATCACCATTTCTAATGCCATTTTGATGAAGGATGCAATTATGTACCTGAGGTGAATATGAAATTCCATGATGTAAATTGGAAGATATGATTGAAGTGTTAATCAAATAATCAATTGCCAACATAATATGACTGCTGGTATATAATAGGTGTGAAGTGGTACAGTATAATTATAATTGTTTGGAGTTTTCTTGTCTTACAGAAGCCCAGCCAGAAGTGGAGATTCCTTGACCAATACAACAAACATGACCAACACCAGTAAAATCAGCACTCAGGATTTTAGGTAAGGTCAAAATATGGGGGTTGTACTGTATCACCAACATGATTGATTTGGCAAATCTTTGGGACAATATTTCAAATTATGCTACTGTTAACATTTGGATCTGAGGAGAAGTTTTGGTTTTAGGCTGAATCCCTCCCAAGAACCCCCCCCCCCCCAAAAAAAATGAACAAACGAACCAAAAAAAAAGTTATTTTATTACAAGAGCGTGGAGGAAACAATCTTTTAAACAAACTTAATGATATGACACATAATCCTACTTTTTACTTGAGAAAGTAACTAGGTCGATAGAATAAGTTTTTAACAAAAGTGGACAAATTTGAATTTGAAACAAATATTTGGGAAAAAAAAAAACTGATAGTGAAATACTGATACTGATAATGAAATGCAGTGTAATTTTAGCAGACAATTTAAAGTGGTAGAAAATTTTTATATATAAGGGGAGCAGAGAGAGATAAGAAGTTTAAAAGGTCATGGTCAAAAACAATAAATGTACTGTAGTACCTTTAGGAAGATCTTGTCACAGTTATTGCAAACAAGAAAGTCCTATCTTCTCTCATTCAAAAGTTACATTAGTATAAAATTCAAAATTTTTGAAAAGAAAGTCATACTTCAAGGTCATGGTCATGAGGTCAAAAATCACAGTACAGTGGATATTATAAAAAAAGTCTTCTCATATGTAATGCACATGTAAAATGTGAAAGCCCTCTCTCATTCAAAAGTTATTTATTACTAAGCTGAAATTTTGGAAAAGTAGGTCAAAACTTTAAGTTTATGGTCATGAGGTCAGAAGTCAAAGTATATTTGAAAAGGATTTGTTAATTCACATATGAAATATAAAAGCTCTATCTTTCATTCAGAAATTATTAGCAAAGTTAAAATTTTAGATTTAGGTACCCTACTGTGTAGAGCAGTTACATGTAATGAATATATTTGCAAATTTTTGTGGAATTCTAGCCAAAAGACAAATTCATGGAACTTTTGTTTTATTTATTTAAAAAAGCTATTTTAGTACTTCAGTGCATTGATTAAAATTTTGACAATGTTGCATGAAAGATTTTAATTTAAGCTTCAGATCTGTTTAGTAGGATTCCTCTCCTTCATTTCAGAATTCACTTTTATATTGATTTGAAACCCGGCCAGGCTAATCTTGTTTTTCTCTTTTATTTGAACTAAATTTCATGATGTTTGATTGAAATTAGAACACTGGAGGGTATACTGGAGAGGTGAAGATTAAGACTGCATTTTATAGGATTCTGTCAATTTTTCACAGAGTAATGGCTATCGTGGACATAAATTCAACATATTTGGAAAGCATTTATTTTACGACTCTTGGTGTAATAGCAGTTTTCAGAAAATGAGCTAGCTCCCACTTATGTTGCTGGATGTTCTGTAGCAACTAATTCATTAACATCTATTACCTGTAGATTTGTTTAAATGTCACCATTTAAAAAAAATTGTTTAAAAAAAGCTTAATTTAAAACATCCCAGATGGGCTTTTGGCTTTTTTTCCTTACATATTGAGTAGATATATCCACAATTTTAATTTAGACCTCTACTTCAATTCTTTGTAAGAACACCATGTATAAAGTTTCGTGTCGGGGGTTAAATTTCTATAACAGCCTCTATGAGAGCCAGTGATAATAAAATAATAATAATAATAATTTCGCAGGACAGCACATTTTACAATAATTTACATAACTAGTTTACATTGTGGTCCCAAAAAGCATATTGAAGACATCTACTAAAATGGCCAATGGTTCCAGGAAGGGGGGGGGGGGATAGCAGAAATTTAACATTTGATAATGGGATTCGCATTCTGTATCCATTTTTAAAATTTAATTAACCACTGAATAGACATCTTAGCATAGTTTTCAATTTTGCTATCAGATTGGAGAATGAGAATACTAAATATGTGTACTCAAAGCCAAAGAATTGAACCCCAATATTTTGCTCTTGTATCATCCAAAATGAAGGTCTTGTGTCCCCGCGTCTTCATTTCCTCATATGAATGAAAAATGAAATTACATATTGACGGATCAGAAAGTCATTAAATAAGCTACTCTGGCATGGAAAACGAGGTAATTATCTTAGTCTTTAAAGTGCCACAAGTCATAAGAGTACAGCATTAGATATGAGTTCAAATTTGGTCTTGCTTTAGTCCCAGAAAAACAGCCTGTTGCACTGTAGGAGAATTTATGCTGAGTTTCCGTGACTTCATGAGAAGATATTATTTCTAACTAGTTCTTTCCAACTGCTAGGTAATGGATGATTGACCTCTCGGTTTTGAATTGTGTGACATAGACAAATACACAGCCTTCTCGATTGTGTGTACTTTAAAAGTTTTAAATAAATTTTTTTTTCTTACCCTGTTCAAATGAAAACATGGATCATGTGAGAAGTTAAAGGCCGTATTATGGAATTTCTGTCAAATTTACACTGCAGGGATTGGTATATGTGAGAATAAGCTTATATAACTATGGAATGCATTTTGAAGTGTTTAGAGATTCTATCATAGTAAGTTTCCAGACTTGTTTTTATGTTAAGGAATGGTTTTTTTGTGAAATTTAAGTCTTAAAACTGTCTTCCAATTGTCTTTACAAGTAAGATTTCAAAATAGTTGACATATTTCATTTATGAATGTGTGTAAAAGAATGAAATCACCCTATCAAAGGATTAATACAGATGATAGTCAGTTTGCTCATTCTGAATTTAAAAGAAAATCATAGAATCACACTATATTTGTACATATAGTAAGGAACAAGATCAAAAGTTCAGTGTCTGAAAAAAATAAATTCACATAGTTTTCATCAAGATCCCCCTCCTTTGTCCCTCAAAACTAAATGAGATGAAATGTGGATTGAAGGAACTATATACAGTAAAAGCATATTTTTGCCCCCTATAAAAGCCACATTTGAAAATCTCCATAATAAAAAAAAATGTACACAATTGTATATATTGTATGAAAAATCCAAATTAACATAAAATACTTCGGTTTGGAAGTAGCTTATTGGCAATTTGAGTTTTGGTGATGTCACAAACTATTTGGATTTTCTGATATTTTCAAGAAAAAGGACAAAATAAACAAAATTTGTTCAATTTTGACCTATAGATTTTATAGAGTGCAAAACTGCCCCAGAATAATATTCAAATATTTCATTGATGTTATAATTCTACGTATTATATCAAAAGATTGAGTGGAGCAGACCTGCGCTTGATGACTTTTAATCAAAATATCAACATAAAAACACTTTTTTCCCTACCAAAATCATGATCATAATTTTGAATTTAAGTCATCTTCCTGACTTCATATTTAACATGTGGTGTTATTGCTGATGAAAATGGACAATGCTTTAAAGTGTGCAGATTTCCCTCCTGTTTAAAACACAATTATATATTTCTTCATCAAAGTTTAATTTAGGGGGCTGGTATTGGTCATTGCAGAATATAGTCCTTTGATTATTCAGTAACAGGGACATATTTACCAAATATTATATACATGCCTTCAAATAATAGTATTTCTTACACTTTTACTAACATATATTTCTTTAATTTATTCATAGAAAGAAAAATTTAAAATACAAATAGCATAAAGTTTCATGTACAATATGTACTTTTTGTGTAGCTATCAATGTCGGACAAAACCGTCACGGTAGCTGAGTCGGTAGAGCGCTCGCTCCGTGATCGGAAGGTTCTATATTTGAATCATGGCCTTGACTGACCTAAGTCGATAAAAAATAGGTAGCAACTGTTCCTTCACCAAGCACTCGGCACTTTGAAGTGAAAGTTGCAGGTCATTTGGATGAGACTTTAAAAACCGAGGCCACGTGTCAGAGTAGGCCCTGGCACAATAAAGAACCCTCACTGCTCGTTGGCCCTGAGTGCTGAGTAAAGGTCTATATTTGAAGCCCTTCACCGGTATATGGTGACATCTCTATATGAGTGAAAAATTCTCTAATGGGACGTAAAGCAACATACAATCAATCAATCAATGTCAGACAACAAAAACTTTTGGGGCTCTTCATTCTTTATCTCCCCTTTACACTAACTATTTGAACTGTTTTTTTTTTAAAATATAGATCTTTTGATCTAGTACCTAAGTTCATCATCTTAAAGCTTGATGTACCCATGAACAAAAATCTTAAAAGTACTAATTATAGAATAGAACAAGGAAGCTGTCTACAAATGTACATTACATGTTATCAAAATTGTAATTTTTGCCAAAACACTGCAAAATTTGTACCAGATGAAAATTAATTTAGCCACAGTAATGGGGGGGGGGGGTCATAAGGGATTGCTTAGTGTAAGATATACAAATAAAACAGCAGTAATATTCTCATACAATACAGATGGTGGTCATAGCAACTGAGAAATAATGCCAAATGTGATTGTAATGTAATGTAATTGTAATTGTAATTGTAATGTAATTTCACTCATAAAATTTTTCAAAAATATGAAAAATTACAACTTAGATTTCAGGATGCACTGTTTATGTATGAAGAATCCATTGTTATTCCTACAAACTTTTTTGTTTTCAACTCAGCTATAACTCGCCTATAAGATCCATTGTGCAACAGTTGATGTTGGACAAACAATTCATGGTAATAAAGTCACAGTTATAAATAGCTATAACAAGGGGAACAGTTAGACTTTGGCAAGAAGCCTGCATTCTTAAACATGCAGATGGACAATAAACATAGATTTAGACTCGAGTCAAAGCAATTATTCATTCAATTTTTAACACATTAGGGACCCATGCATTCATGAATATATTTCATGGAGATGTATTGAAATGTCTCTAAGTAAACATACCCATTGTATATGATTAGCTGTTGTTCATTGCTTATTAAGTTTATTTTAAATCTGTATCTCTCACTGGTATGAAGATCCATACCAAAAAAGACCAATCTTAGAAACTCTCTTGACATGTTTGAAGATCCATTATACAAAAATCCACACAATTCTATAAATCATTGTGCCAGGCATCATCTGTCTGTCTGTCCGACCTTCTTTCTTGATAACAGTTAAAGGTAGGGATTTGATATTTGGTTCATGTATTGCTTAGAACAATGGCTAAATACCAAGGTTACTGACTTGGTGACCTTTGAACTTGACCTTTGACCCACTTTTCAAAATACAGCATAATGCCATTATATATACACATTATTATTTGACTTTGAGAGGTAAATCTGTGCTGTTTGGACTATAATGCCAGTATGCATCTTTAACAAATGTGACCACCCGTTAGCTTTATGTATGTCTTTAATGTTGCGACGCACACATTCTTTTGAACACTTTAGTTATATTTGGTCATTATTGATAGCTAGTGTAAACACAGCATCTGCTGCGATTTTGCCATGCACCCACAATGCAAATGTGGCCACTGTTAAGTATATCATTTCATGGTATTACATGTACCTCTTTAAATCTGCTTTAAATAACATCCAAGTCCAGACTCAAAGCAATTACTCTTGCATGCTTGTGAATTAAACTTTCCTGAGAACTTAACTCATTACTTTCAATAACTGTTCATTTTCTCGTTAACATTATTGTATTAACGTATGTATAATGATTGCTTTTTCAGTCCAATTAATAGCCAGACAAGCCTAAGTGGCCTGAGTCGACAAAGTGAGCAGGAAAGAAGTGATGGTCCCCTGGATTACCAGTACAAATACACCCCTTACCATGAGATGCAGGAGTCCCCCGCCAAGATCAGGTGGAGCCAAGCTGTCAAGAGAATTAACACCGAGCTTAATAAGGTAATCCTGTGTTGATTTATGGCACTGTATACTGGGAAACTAAGTTTATCCCCATGCAGTTTAATTTCATCCAAATGTAAATGAATTTAGAAGTAATTTTGCATTTTTAAATTAATGCAAAGTAATTAACTATTCTAGACTTCAATACATTTTATTAACTGGGTTTTCCATTGGGAAAAAGCTGATTGTTGAAATGATGAAAATTAGGAGACAGATGGGCAGGTGACTGCCAAAAGGGTACAGCGCATATTTGTTCAGAAAACTCCTCTCACAGTTTTCAATATATGTTTATACACTGTATTTTGCCAGTCAAATTTGTACATAATATCAGATATGTGCTTAATACTTGAATTTTGATTTTTGATAATTTATGAGAAAATTCCCAGTTGTTGAACTTAGTCAGTTGCTATAAAGGTACATTATTTGTCCAAATAACTCCTCCTAGTAAAATTTTCAAAATATTACAAAAATACCAGCTGTTGATTTTTATGCAGAATTGTTTATTGAGTACATCATTAGTCCGGAATATTCCTCCTACAGTTTTCAAGATAGAAAGGTATACTTTGCAGATTGTACAAATACTGTACGTGTACATAAATTGGCGTATTCAAAATTTAGTGAAATCACTGGGTATTGAGTTGTTAGCGTATTCATGAATTAGCGCTACACACAAACGCACCATATATTGTATTTATAAATGATTTATTAATGGTAATCATAAATTAGCGCATCGTTGTCCACGCCAAAGTCGCTAAAATGTGAAGCCCGCTAAAATATGAAGCCGGCCATTTTTAATATTTTAAGTACACATACAGTATCAGAGATGTACATGGTAATCGGATATTTATTTTCAACTATTTATGAGAAAATACCAGTGGTTGAACTTAGTCATTTTGATGCAAAATATGCTCATAGGGTATGTTATTATTGTAGGAGTGTCACCTCCTACAGTTTTCAGAATAGAAATTTTTTTAAAAAATAATTTATTTGAGAAATACCAGTACTGTCACATTGACAGCATTGCCCTTGTTGAATATTTCCATTTTAAAATTCACTTATTAAGGATGAGGTTGAAAATAAAGCAGGAGCAAAAATTTCCCAGTATGCATTATTAATATTTCAATTTATAAAAGGATAGTTCATTTTTCTGAATACAAGTACCATGGAATGTAATGAAAAAAGATGGAGCTAGATACTTGAGTTAAGGTAAGTACTGTGTGTTATAACCCTGTTTTTGAAGGGACTCTGTCAGTGAAATGAGGATGGAGGGATGGTATTTACTTTCTTATCAAGTTTATGTCTTTAAGTAAAGAACAAGAATTAATTGCAGACTTTTTGCAGATCAGTATAAGAAATTGGTGTTTGACAAAGGCAATGAAAAGTATAAGTATAGACAGTTTCGAAAGAAAAATCCGTTTTAAGATGGTATTAAATCAAAATAAAGACCACAGTAAATTACTGGGTGTTTCAAAGATTTCTTTGTTATATATGCAATATGGATCATGGATTGAAACATTTCTTTTCCAAAAAACCACAAAATGCCAACTACTACATAAGCAACTTAGAAGAGCATCAACTTTTAAGAAATTATGCCTTATTAAACCTTAGAAAGAAGGTAAAGCAGTTACTTCTAAAATGAGAGTTCATGTGAATGGAACCTCTCTGAAAGGAGTGATGTCTATGTTTAGTTACATCTATGAAACTTGCAAGTGTCATTGAATCTAGACTTAAATATCAGGGGTATTGATCTTCAATGGTATTATGTATGCATGAGTGGCAGACTTTCAGTTATTTCATCGTAAATTTGAAGACAAAACATGGAGATCACACTAGAATTTGAGATGGTCCATTGGTTTCTTCGGAAGAAGGTGTGTTTGTGTCAGTAAGGATGACATAGGATCCACATTTAGATTAGAGGACAGAGATTAAGGATCTGAAGGATTTGGAAGATTAAGATTAATGCTTCATTAAGCGGTCATGTTTTAGTTTTTTTAAAAAAAAAAAGAGGAAAAAAATACTGAAAAGCCTCTGTATTTGAAATATATGGATATACAGTAAAACTTGCTTAAATAAGGAAGTCCCAAGAGACTGTGAATTTTTTGTTCCATTTCAATAAAGCAATTCTTTTTAAATGTATCCCTAAGATAGAGTTATGATATGAGGGATGGGGAAAATAGAACTTCCTAATATTGCAGAGATTTCCTTAAATCAAAGTTCTTTATGAGTGCAATCTGATTAAAATTAGATTTTTGATTCGCTCCGAAATTCTAATAGTCACTACACAAAGCAACTATCAAAATTTTGGAGCAAATCAAAGATCTGATTTTAATCAGATTGTTATATTGAAACCTTGTCATTAAGGGCCTTTTATAAGAGAGATAACTCTGAAAAGTCCTAAATTTTTTGGCTCTCTTTGAATGTTATTTCAGGACAATTACTTCCTGAATCTCTGTGAAAAATGGTCTCTTTGATATATAAGGCAAAATGAGATTAAACATTGCTGGGAAATTGGAGTGAATCGAATAAAGCTATCCATGGAAAAATTTGCACAAAGTGATTTAAGAGATCAAGTTAATTAGACTGAAAGCTGCTGAAAATTGGATAGGACTGCCATTCTTGTCTTTTGTCTTTTCTGAAAAATCTCTCATTTGAATATAATATGGTCAGTGACATTTATGCAACTTGAACATTGATCTTATTAATTCTGAAAGAGTGATAATGCAAAACAGATAGAGGAATATTTTGGTTGCATGCAGAGAACAAAATCTTCTTCAAATGTCATGTGCTGTCTTATAAGGAAGTAATTATAGGCTTAAACCCAGGAGTAAAGGAAAACTGGTTGTCTTTACAAGGCAGATTAAACTTGTGTCCTTTTGGGTTCCTTTGGGCTCTTGCACCTCAATGAGTAAATGGAAATGAAAATATCTTTAGCAGACATTAAATAGTTAGTCTGTGAAAAGTAGGATGTGCTGACTTTCTTAAGGCATGGGGGTGAGCAGTTCAAAAAAGTAGCTACTAGCTGGGAGCTACATGTAGTAACAGTAACAAAGTTAACAGCCCATGGACTATTGGCAGTATATGCACACAATGGTTATATTCATCTTTTATTATTATCTGTCTTTATTCAAGCAATGATAATTTTAAAGAACATTTGTCCTAGACAAAATGTTGAATTATGAATAGTCAAAAAAGGACTGCAGGAAATAGTACTAATCAATTTGTCACTCAGAAAAGACTATTGCTATATCAATGTACAATATGCGTATTATGTTAAAACAGATTGAAGATCTTGACTTGGCAATTAAATCATAAATTGGTCGATTAAATATTGACACTTGTGCAATGACTAATGCAGTTATACTTTCATTTTGGATTTACTTTAGCCTGGTTGGCTAACACATCTTTTTATTTTTGCTTGCTTGAACTCTAAAATTGGTAGCCCACTGTGCGTCAGGCAATGGTAATCACATTACCCCTAAAGTTACTATTGGGCTTCTCTCTTTGGTGAATGCAGATAATCATTGACAAAACTTGCACCCCTGTTGTAAAGGTCTCTTTATCTTGAATGAATGGATTCTTTCCTGCTCTCATGGTTGTTCAATTTCTTTTGAATTATAATATTCTTTAATTTGACAACCATGCATTATGTGCATTAAAAAAAATTCAAGTACGACATGTAGCTACTGTTCATATTGTGATTCTCTGTGCACACCCATTTGTTTATATATACTGGTAAACAGATCATGCAGGTTCCCTAGCCATTAAGGTGCACTTCAGAACCCATCACTTCAAGTATTGATAACTGCAATATGTTTATCAAGGCGACAGTTATGAAGTTAGGACAGACTGAAATTGATATTTATTTTGCAGACAGACAGAAATTAATATTTAACTGGTTGATTGTGATTGAAAATTGATGAGTTCCCTTTTTCTCATATTGATTCTTATTAAACCTGCTCAAGTTTCAACATAAAAAATGAAAAAAAATCCTTTCTGTATTTAAATTTAATTGGCTCTCTGAAGATTTTTTTTTTTTTTTTGGCATTGCATTGTATCATATAGTGTTTTTTTTTCTTCTTCAAAAACAATATTTTCTCATGATTCATGCATTTTTTTCCCCCATAAGAATCATGGTATAAAAGAGCCGAATTTGTATAATTTATAGGAGCTTCAGCAAGTCTTGTAAATCCTCTAGTAGTGTATGAAGTAAAGACTATTTTGAGAAGGTTATGAGGATGTGGTCAGTGATAATTAACTGATACTTAAGTATTTTAAATCATTAATTGTCTTTTGATTGTTCTTCAGTTAAATATATAATACCTGACTTTCTTCCTAAGTCAAAAATAAAGGGGGGGGGGTTAAAATTTGTGTTATTCAAATGATTTTCATCATGACAAGTCATACAAGTGTATTAGCAAGAAGGTGAAGTTTCATTTTTTCTTTTGTTAAAAAAAGATATACCTTGAAATTTTTGTCTTTTTAACATTTGTTTGAATGCTTCCATGTATCATAAAATATTAAATGTAAAGCATGTAACAGCTGTATTGAGATTTTGTGTATTGAGAGAATGAGTCATTGAATCACAGGGACAATAGACCCTCCATATGTTGCATTCAAATGTCACTCTTATCAAATATAGATTTTGATTAAAAATGAGATTTATTATGAAATGTAATGGTACATAATGTGTAGCAGTTATCAATTTAGGAGAAATTAATAAAGGGGTTAATTTCAGGGCAGTTGGAATGAGAAAAATAGTGAATGATTCATCTGAAATGTCTGAATTGGTTGATTTCAAAAATTACACGTAGATTTCGAATATGTGTTTGACCATGCAATGGTTAAAGATGGGGAATATTATACATTTGTTGAATTAGAGTTATAGAGATATATAAAGATTTATTCACCTAAGAAAATTATATTGCCTGAGGGCAAAGCCCAAGGGAAATGTGTCATTTTTCTGTAGGGTTAATAACATATTTTATCTGTCTTACTGTCCA